GTAGCCCGGGCCTGCTATAGGCAGTTAGGGTAGCTGTAGGAACTCGGTTAGTACCAGGTCTGTATTTTTTTTAGAAATTACAGATCTGTCCCTCATGAATTTCCACACAGGCGGATCTCTCGGTTAGCCCTCAGCCAAACAAAATTGCAGAACTAACCCTACAGGCTAGTATACAGCCTCGAAGTCAATCTCGGCAGCAGAAATCAGCAAGTCATTGCATGTCGATCATCGAAGATCGACGGCTGTTATCAGCCGCTAAAGGGTCCATGTTCAACCTCGGGTGGGGCAGTGAGGCTGGGCGCGAATGCCAGCCGCGTTCGATTTCGAATGCCGGTAGGGGCTGGCATTCACGCGCAGCCTCCCACATGGCGGAGCGCCCTCCCTCGCACGTTGCAGCAGCGGTCGCCATCGCCCCCCATCATCGGAAGCCCGTCAACTCCAAGCTCCCGCCACACTGGGAACACCCACCTGTTGTGCCCGCTCGTCGAACGTAGGTTCCCCCTGGCCCCCTGCGAGACTGCTTCTTCTTCTTCTTCTTCTTCTTCTTCTTCTTCTTCTTCTTCTTCTTCTTTCTTCTTCTTCTTCTTCTTCTTCTTCTTCTTCTTCTTCTTCTTCTTCTTCTTCTTCTTTCTTCTTAGTGCTCTTCCTTTCTTCATCTTCTGCTTGTTCTTCCTCCTCTCGCGAAACTCCACAACCGACATACTTCCTCAGCTTGACATGTCTTGCCCTCGACATCGGGACACCTACCCTCGCCCGACAGCTTACCCATTCCTTGTGAACAGCTCGCCATCTGTTTGGAAGCCCCCGCCATCTGGTACATCCAGCCGCTGTTTGGATGTGCCCGCCATCTACTACCACCCGCCATCTGCCCGTTCTTCTTCTTCGTCCCCCTTTCTTGTTCTTCTTCTTCCCCCTCATCGGGATAGTTTCTCCCGTCTGTCCCCATTTACCTCCCCTGTCAACCCCCTCCAAAACACCCCCCCCTCCCAAAAGAAAAATCAAAGTTAACAACAAAAAGCTAGTAAACATCAGAAAGATGGGTATCAGCACAGAAAGATGTATTGATGTACCAAATTGGCTAATAGTAGAAGGTTGATGCAAAGTGTTCCACCAATTTATAGAGAATTTCATTATTGGTATATTTATGAGACCTATACAAACAAAAAGAGAAGCTACACATGCAGAAAAGAACAGAAAACATAGCGCACCTAAATAGACAAATAGCAGTGTTACGATCCTGGCCATTCCCAAAGTGCAAATTCACAATGAAAGACAATGCCACCCAATTGCGAAAGAAATGAAAGCACTTGCAAAGAGATAGAGGCCACAGAAGAGAGAAAGAAGAAGAAGAAGAAGAAGAAGAAGAAGAAGATATACACCAGCAAGACCAGTGACAAATCCCCCTTCGCTCTCCACCTTCCTCCTCCTCCCTCACTTCGCCAATCTTATTCTTCTTCCAATAATAATAATAACAATGAGTGGATGAACCAGAATCAATATCCGAAGTTCCCTCTTACTGCTGACTCAACAACAGGTCCACCATAGCTATGGCTTCCCCTCTTCTTCCACCTCTCACATGCGTAGGCTATGGCGGACTACTGAGGGCTTTGCCCTCCTGTGCAAAGGACAACGCAAAGCAGCTATGTTGCTGCACTCCTGTCCAAAGGACAACGCAAAGCAGCTACGTCGCTGCTGACTAAGCCGCCATGCCTGACTCTGCCTCGAGCTTCCTTGGTACGGCACTACCCCAACTGGGGAAGATGGTGTCCACCATAGCCAGGTAGGTACCTCGCCACTCTCCTCCTTCGCCCCCTTCTTCCTCCTCTTCAAGCTGGGCTGCTCGCCATAGCCAGGCTGAGCGCCCAGCTGCTCTTCACCTCCAGGCAGCGCTGTACCAGTCCACCGCTTGGCTCCAGCAGCATGTCGCCAATCCTTGCATACCGCAAATGAGGAGGAGCTGCTTGCTTCTCCGGAAGATATAGCGGCCTACTGGCCTCTTGGGCGGTGACTTCCAAGGCCGAGCGGCCTCCCAGCAACCGGTACCTCCTCCCTTTCAGAGGGAAACATCATTGCAGGCTCTGCTATCGTCCGGACAGGCCCTAGACTCGGGCTACTTTGACTGGTACCGGCCTACCTCTAACCTACCGGTACTGGGCCTCTAAAAATGCCAACTTTTGTCTTCTTCTGCTCGGCCTCCAGTACCCGATACTTCTACCACTACTTGAGTGGTACCAGCCTACCTGCTGCTTTAGTGTTTTTCCCCGCTGCTCTAAGTATCGCGGGCCTACCCCTGCTACTTGAGTGTTTTCCCCGCTGCAACCCTCAAAGTCACGGCCACAGGTAAGTACCGGCCCTGCAGGGCCTTTCAACCAACAAGTACCCTTGCGGGTCACACACACACTCAGCCGACAAGCACTCAGACAGGCACGCAAACCAGCAGGCACGCACACACACACAGACTTGGAAACCACAGCAGAATGC